GAAGATGCCAATGCTGCACTGTGATTGCAACAGAACCCAGAATACATCATGAAGAAGACATCTTGGCAAATAACTTTCAAAATCAATGTTTCTTCATAAAGCAAAAATGTTTGAATGGCTGTTAGCTGATCAGCGGGAAAACCAATTTGGGATTAAGATCACTGCAGTGACCAGAAGCGCCTTTGCCCAATTTCGGTGGATGCATTAGTTGCATGCTTTCTTGTGGAAGCCAGACCTGACCACAGTGGTCAATTCCTTATCTGCATCTTTTTTGGACTACTGTAATATAGTCTTCATGGATCTGCCCTTGAAAAGTGTTTGGAAAATGTAGTTGGTGCAAAATGCAGCAGTCGGATTGGTCTCATGTGTGCATTTGAGAGACCATAGAACACTAGTCCAGCAAGAAACCCAGCAATTTGCTTCCAAGCTCAGTTGAAGGTGCTGATGTAGACTTACAACGCCATACATGATTTGGGATCAAGATATCTAGTAGAGTGCCTCCTCCCATATGAGAGTGCTTGAAATTGGAGATCTTCGGAGGAGACTCTATTGTGTGGACCTCATCACATTATAATTTTTTAAGCATTTTTGGATGCTTGATGGACACTGGGAGGACGGAGCCTGCTAGATGCCACCAGACGATGCATAGCTACTTCCGGTGGGGCTCCATCCTTCCAGAGTCCTGGCAGTGTGCTAGGATGCTTCCCAGAGAACATGGCTTCCAGGTTCTCATAGGAAAGAATGGGGTAAATGTTGGGGGAAGCTGATGATGCAGGGTGCAGGGCGATGGGTTCCCATGCTTCCCACTGGATTCACCATGCTGCATGGCAAATCCCGCACAATTGCCCACAAATTTGACCTCCTGATGTTATGTTGGTGAATACATATAGCAGCTCCTTGACTGTGGGACTCCCTAGCCAAGGATGTTCAGCTGTGCTCATCTCTTGCAAGGTTCCAGATGGCATTCATTTTTTTTAATTGCTGTTATAGCTGTTTTATACCAGGATTTTTGGACTGATTTTAGACTGTTTTTAGGAAATTTAAAAGAATATTTTAATGTGTTTTAAAATGTTTTCCTGTTCGTATTGTTTTAATTCGTTTTTATGCTTTCATTGCCTTGGGAGTCCTTGCAGGCTTGGAGCAATATAGAAATACATTAACTAATACACAAGTAAGTAAGTAAATTCCTAGGTCTTTCCTGCTTACAGGAAAGACCTTGATTTACTCTAACAGCCAGCAAGAACTTGCTTTTGCAGTTTCTGTTGGTGGGATTATGCCAGGGTGGGTTGTATTACCCGGATCTTGGTCAGCTGAAGCTGCAGAAACAAGAAGCTCTGTCACACTTTCATTTTCACTGCATTTTCCAGAATGCCACTGAATGCCCATTCAAGTTCCACATCAGGCAGAATTGGGATTTGACTATCTAGGTTTTTTAGTGTAACCCTTAGCCTACAACTGACGGATTATATATTTGGATGAACTGTAAATGAGATCAAAGGATAGAGACACATCTAAACCTTGGGAGCAAATGGGAATTTTGGACCTTGAGAATATCTTTGTAGTTTTGTCCAAGTTGCTATTTTTAGTGGCTACAGCTGCTTCTTGATCTAAGTATATATTATGTGTGCACATGTGTGTGTTAGGGGTGGGTAAGGTAGGGCAAGGGCTATTTCTCAGAAAGCCAAAACAGTGTTCTGGGTTTTCCCAGTTGGAGACAAGAAGTCTCAGAGCAGAGTTACTTGCCCTTAGCTCTCCCATTGAAAATGCCTTCTTGAAAATGGGCTTGGGTATATCCTATAAATACACGGCAGGAGAAGTAAAAAGGAAGAATATACATGCTTAAGGATGGCTATATATCTCTTTCAAGAAAACAAATCAGGTTTACATATGTTTATCTTTAACTGGATCGGGTCATTTATGACTTGTTTAAGAGAGGTGTAAAAAATGTAGTTTACTTGAGTTACTTTTTTTCCTGGGTCATGTAACTTGAAATGACATGTCAAAGATATACATAAAGACTAGTATAATTCTTACTGGAATCAACGCACACACAATATATGATTAGTTTCAACAAGTGTAGAACTGTCGAATCAATTATTGAATGATGAGTCAACACTTAGATTAAATGGATTTACTAATTTAATTTTGAGTTGTTGTAGGTTTTCCGGATTGTATGGCCATGTTCTAGAAGCATTTTCTCCTGACATTTTGCCTGCATCTTCACAACCTCACAACCTCTGAGGATGCTTGCCACAGATGCAGGCAAACCGTCAGGAGAGAATGCTTCTAGAACATGGCCATACAGCCCAAAAAACCTACAACAACCCAGTGATTCTGGCCATGAAAGCTTTTGACAATAAATTTTATTTTGTTTACTTTAGGCATTTATGTGTTCAACAGGGTCCCTGAGAGAATGTACAACCGTTTAAAACAGCTAAATAAGTTGAAGCTAAAGACCTCAGCTCAAAGGCCCCTGGTAAATCCATGGGCTCCTGGCCGGGGGCAGGGAGGCATGGAGAACCTGTCGCTTCATGTCCCATCTTGAACAACTTGCCTGGAACTCCATCCCACAGGGGAAGCATTGCCACCCGGCTTCCTCCCATTGTTGGAAAGGCAATATGGGAAAGTTCCCATGTTGCCACATCAGCCACATATGCTGCTTGCTTTCCCCTTTGTGGACAGAGCCCAGGTAGAAGTACATGTATATCATGTAATGGGTTCCATCCTGAAAAGGAAGAAGTGGTGTATGACAGGCCAAGTAGCCTGTCTGATGAGGTGGCCACAGTAAGATTGAGGTATATATACTGTGTTGAGAGCCTTTTTCACAGAAAATATCACAGGATCCTCATATTAATGAGGGATGTCTTCTTGAACTTACAGTGGCAAACAGAAACATGGATGACAGAAACCCCACTGAAATGAATTACTCCCACTGGAAGTTACCATAGAATCACCCTGGGGAACCTAGGAAATTTCCAAAGAAGTATCCTCTCTAGGAATTTGCTAGATCCTCTAGGGCAGTGGTTCTTAACCTGTGGGCTGTGGACCACCAGTGGGCCTTGAGGACGGAAATCTGATCCGCAAGCCTCCTTTCTCTTTATTTATTTATTTATTTAGTTTTATTTATTTTATTTCCACTTCTTTTGTGGCGCTTGCCACTCCTTCCCTGTCGCTGACCATGGCATATGTTCTGTATCAGAAACTAGAGCTGATGTGGTCTATACATGCAATTTTCTGAATCAGCACCCCAAATAACCAAACCGTTTCTAAAGCTGACCAAAAACTGATTCGTAACCCTTTTGTTAGAGAGTGGTCCTTAGTCAAGTACTCCCTGGTCAAAGTGGTCCTGGTCAAGTGGCCCCTGGTCAAGTAGTCTCTGGTCAAGTAGTCCCTGCTCAAAGTGGTCCCTGGTAAAGTAGTCCCTTGTCAAGTGGTCCCTGGTCAAATTGGTCCCTGGTTACAGTGATCCCTGGTCAAAGTGGTCCCTGCTCAAAGTGGTCCCTGGTCAAAAAAAGGTTGGGAACCACTGCTCTAGAGTGACTCAAAGACAATTTTCTACAAAAGTATACCATGGAAGCAACTGGAAGACCTATACAATTTCTAGAAAGGACATATTTTGTCAAATGTGCTTAGATGAATTCACAGATCCTGGTCCTCCATGGACTTTTCTATGGATTAAAGTTAAAACAAGACGCATCTCATAGTACTATGTTTTTCAGGTGATGTGAATACAGGATGGGACTTCACCTATAATCAGTTCATTTCTCCTCCCTAGACAATTTAGTTCATAGTTTTCTTCTGTAATCCTCAGCCTAACCGCCTTGGAAAATTGGAATAGTAAAAGTAATAGATATCTCAACATTAGGGTTAGGCACATTTCTACATCCATGCCAAATAATTTCAAAACACCCTCCTTCACCACTATCTTTGGAGTGCCCATCTGCCCTCCACTGCATACCACATAGCCAGTTCACTGTCTTGAATACAGACAACATATTCCAATATGAAAAACTATTGTAAGCCTGGCTGAAATGTTAAGTAACCTTTCTGAGTCAAAGGTTTAAAATCATACTATGAAGTATGGTCTGAATAAAATTATTTGCTCAAGCTAGAGTTGACCCTTTCATACTAAGGAATTTGGATAAGCATTGACTTGTTGAGTTTCCATTTATTTGACATGTCTAATAGGGACTAACACATTTCTGTGCTTCATTGTAAACTTTTGGTATGTTTCTATATTACAGAGTGTTGCAAAGGTAGTGGTTATGGAAAAATTAAGATATTGAATGGGACTGAATGCATTAATTATTCAAATTCAATCTTAAGGCAGTTTTCAAATGAATGAATGTAGCCAATGCTGAAAGGAATACAGGCATACTTGAAATGTCTTTTCAAAACAGGATAACTGCCTCCAAAAGCATTGAAATCACCAAGTGTTCAAGTATACCTTCTTTTCAGAAATTTCAGTGCAACTTCAATACAACAAATGTCTTGGGATTGTGCCAAAATGTCCTTTAACACTTCATTAATGAGAACAAAGATCTAAGGTTTGCATTGATACTGAAAAACAAGTCAAATTGGGAACACGAAATTAAGGACTGAAGACATTGCCAAATTGCACCCCATCCCATTCCAACCTTTGAATCCACCCTGTTACTTGTTGTTCAGTAGCAAAAGCATCTGAAGGCAGTCATTCACGGAAGGCACATGCAATTCCTCAGCTGTAATATGCCAGGTAAAATGGCATTAATGGCTCAAAAGAAGAAAAACGTATTAGCGGTGACTTTGGTTCTGCCAAAATAAATAGGCCAATCATCCTTTCACATCAGTTATGCAAAGAATGTTCACTGGATCAAAATAAACCAAAATAGGCTTGTGCATAAATACATTGATGGATTCATCCCTGGTGACCCGCAAGGGAAAAAAACACACAAAGCAACAAGAAGAAGGTATACCTGTGCTGAGGATTAGTTAGCAGGGCACTTTATAAAAGCACTTACCTTTCAGGGTGGGCAGGACTTTCGTTTTGGAAAGTGCCGAAATGCATCCACTGCATCCATGATCCAGTGAGTGGTAGGGTTTATTTTGGTAGGGTAGATCATTTATCTGTGGCTTAGATTCCCCGCATTCTTCTATTCGCAGTCTTGAAGTATGAGAGATCCCATTTAATTTCCTCGCTGCCGGCGACACAGGGTGTGCTTTAGAAAGCGCATGAAGTTGGAAGATTTTTTTTCAAAATAAAGAAACCAACACGAAGACCTAGGACTACTGAATGACAGAATGCCTGGTTGATTTACAAGTGCTTGTGTGAGAAAAGGTTAAATTTAGATTGACGAGCAAATGTGTTCACAGACTGCTGGCTGACAAATGGCAAAGCTATGCCAATATATTGCTTACGCAGGAGAAGTGGTGGGAGTCAGCGAGAGAATCTTTGTGTTAGGCGAATACATTCAAACTCATAGTAAACAAAGACTGTTCGGCTGGGCATAAGAGATGCCTGGCGGTAATATGCAAGTATACTTAAGGCCATACCTAACTGACTGAGATGACCTAGGCAAAGAAAATGCTTCTGTTTTTGTAGGCAAGTATGGAAAGATAGCTTTGTTGTGATATTGATGGAAAGATTCCTGTTGGATGAGTTTCCAACAGCCTGTGGATAAACCCCTTCCTTTCAAACTGCAATGTCTATTCCTTCTTGCTCTTGGGGACTTCAAAAAAAAACTCAGAACAGTGTTGCTCATTTTGTGCTGCAGATTTTGGCATTAGCTTTCTTTCATACAATCATAGAGTTATAGCATCATAGAGTTGAAAGAGACCTTGTGGGCCATCGAGTCCAACCCTCTGCCAAGAAGCAGGAAAATCACATTCAAAGCACCCCAACAGATGGCCACCCAGCCTCTGCTTAAAAGCCTCCAAAGAAGGAGCCTCCACCACACTCTGGGGCAGAGAGTTCCACTGCTGAACAGCTCTCACAGGAAGTTCTTCCTCGTGTTCAGGTAGAATTTCATTTCCTGTAGTTTGAAGCCATTGTTACGTGTCCTAGTCTCCAGGTCGGCAGAAAACAAGTTTGCTCCCTCCTCCCTATGACTTCCCCTCACATATTTATACATGGCCCTTATCATGTCTCCTCTCAGCCTTCTCTTCTGATATAGTCATGTATAAATATGTGAGAGGAAGTCATAGGGAGGAGGGAGCAAATCATTGGGAGGTGGGCATCATAGAATCATAGAGTTGGAAGTGCCATCCAGTCCAACTCTATTCTGTCATGCAAGAACACAATCAAAGCACCCCTGACAGATGGCCATCCAGCCTCTGCTTAAAAACCCCTCAAGAAGAAGATTCCAACATGCTCCCCAAAAGCTCTTATTGTAAGAAAGTTCTTCCTAATGTTTAGGTATAATCTCTCTTTCTCTGCAGTTTGAATGCAGAAAACAATGCATTCTGTCAATCCATTGTTCCATGTCCTTGTCTCCAGAGCAGCAGAAAACAAACTTGCCTGTTTCAATGTGACATATTTTCAGATATTTAAACATGGCTATTATGTCTTCTCTCAGCCTTCTTTTCGCCAAGCTTAACATACTCAGCTCCTTCAGTCATTCTTCATAGGCTTTTGTTTCTAAACCTTTGATCATTTTGGTTGCCTTTCTCTGGACACATTCTACTTCGTCAATATCCTTTTTGTATTCTGGTGCCCAGAATCCAGAATTGGACACAGTACTCTAGATGAGATCTGACCAAAGCAGAACAGAATAATCTGTTACAGTTTCTTAGTGGTAGTATCAGATAGATATTTAGCGGGGTTAGTTGTAGTCTGATTTCAGTTTTGATGATAAAGGCTATAACTGCTTGCTTCGTATAAGAAATCCATAATAAAGAAATACACAAATTGAAGAGTGCATCCTTGCTCTGGGCAAATGAAGGTTTGGTTACACAAGTACAGAATTTAGGACAGTCACTGTAGGCATTTTGAACTATGGGTGCATCTTTACTATATAGAATGACTGCAGTTTGAATTCTGTGATTAATGATTTGGTGAGGGAACAGCACTTTGAAGCAGAGAAGGATGAAAACTTTGTCAAAATACGCCTTTCATGCTTCCATAGCACCGAGCCATGATTGTTAGTGGTGTCAAACTGCATTCGTTCGAGTATTGATGCACCCTGAATCTCCTGCTGGTTTGGGGATTCTTGGAACTATACTTCAAAAAAGGAAACATCTCCAATCTCTCGACTGGTGATATAGTTTCTGAATAAGAGTTTCAAACACAACCAGCACTGTGGTTTTCGTTTGTGTTTTGTTACTAGAGTTGACAGAGATGAAGGAAAATTCTACTTGCATATTTCTCCCGTGATCTATTTCACACCTGCCATCCATTTCACGCCTTCACATATTGGAACAGAGTTATCCTTCTGATGGCATTCTACTTTGGATTTGAAAATTCAATTCTCAGCTTCATTTGCCTACAAAAATGCATATATCAGGGGAACTAGTGTGTTCTTTGACCACATGTGGTACGAATACAATTATTTCCAACACACTAGTACTTCAAAAGGATTTCATGGCAGGAATCACTGGGTTGTTGTAGGTTTTTTCGGGCTATATGGCCATGTTCTAGAGGCATTCTCTCCTAATGTTTCACCTGCATCTATGGCAAGCATCCTCAGAGGTAGTGAGGTCTGTTGGAACTAGGAAAATGGGTTTATATATCTGTGGAAAGACCAGGGTGGGACAAATGCTAATCAAGGTGGTCAGTTGAAACATTCACACCTAGCTCCAGCAGACAAGAGGCCTTTGTCCCACCCTGGTCTTTCCACAGATATATAAACCCATTTTCCTAGTTCCAACGGACCTCACTACCTCTGAGGATGCTTGCCATACAGGCAGGCGAAGCGTCAGGAGATAATGCCTCTCGAACATGGCCAAACAGCCCGAAAAAACCTACAACAACCCACTTCAAAAGTCATCAAATGAGGAGACAGCAGCTGTGAACCTTCTACATAGGATAACAGGAAATATTTTATTATTTTATTTTTGGGTGTGAGAGACATTTCATGGATGGGAGAACAAGGTAGAGTATAAAATGTAGAATCTATTTTTAAAATACATTGTTACCCAAAATTCATTGTACGTGCCAGTGAAAATTGTAAGCACATTTTAGCATACTTTCATGACATGTGATTATAATAGTTTATTCCTCTAACCTAAGAATTTTTTCTTCCTTGCCATATTTTCATATGTAATATAGTTTCTTTGGGTTATTTCACCCTATACAGTTATAGTACTAAGGTTCCACTTACATTATAATGATGGCAACTTATACAAATCTGGGGAAGAGCATCCTGGCTGTGAATTCTAAATGATCTTCCCTAAATTGCATGCTTTCAGATTTGATGGTAAAGTGCTATAGCAGTGTGGTGTGAAAGGACCATTTGACTCTTTTCCATGAGTGCACAAACCTAATGTGTTTAACATCTGAATTGCGGACAAGGAAAGGTGTCCTATTACACCATTCTAACGGAATTATCAAGCTGCTGTGCTGGCTGGGGATTCTGGATGTTGTTGTAAAAATAAATCAAACTTCAGCCACTACTGCAGGGTCTATTTGGCCTCAGGGCTCATGTCTGGCATTGCCCATATATCTGAGTGATAGTTTTATTACTTTCCATCACTTTGTGTTGTGGAATCATTCTGATGTAGGAGATGACGTCTGCCTTTCTAGAAAGCTTTGTATCTTCTTATTCTTTTTTTGTGTCAGAAGCAAACTGAGGCAAGTTGGGTTGTTGTAGGTTTTTCCGGGCTATATGGCCATGTTCTAGAGGCATTTTCTCCTGACATTTCGCCTGCATCTATGGCAAGCATCCTCAGAGGTAGTGAGGTCTGTTGGAAGTAGGAAAATGGGTTTATATATCTGTGGAATGACCAGGGTGGGACAAAGGATTTTTGTCTGCTGGAGCTAGGTGTGAATGTTTCAACTGACCACCTTGATTAGCATTTAATGGCTTGGAAGTGCCTGAGGGAATATTTTGTTGAGAGGTGATTTGATGTGCCTAATTGTTTACTCTCTGTTGTTTTGCTGTTGTAATTTGTAAGTTTTTTTTAATACTGGTAGCCAGATTTTGTTCATTTTCATGGTTTCTTCCTTTCTGTTGAAATTGTCCACATGCTTGTGGATTTCAATGGCTTCTCTGTGTAGTCTGACATGGTGGTTGTTAGATGGTCCAGCATTTCTGTGTTCTCAAATAATATGCTGTGTCCAGGTTGGTTCATCAGGTGCTCTGCTATGGCTGACTTCTCTGGTTGAAGTAGTCTGCAGTGCCTTTCTGTTCCTTGATTCGTGTTTGGGCAATGCTGCGTTTGGTGGTCCCTATGTAGACTTGTCCACAGCTGCATGGTATACGGTAGACTCCTGCAGAGGTGAGAGGATCCCTCTTGTCCTTTGCTGAACGTAGCATTTGTTGGATTTTCTTGGTGGGTCTGTAGATAGTTTGTATGTTGTGTTTCCTCATCAGCTTCCCTATGCAGTCAGTGGTTCCCTTGATGTATGGCAAGAACACTTTTCCTCTGGCAAGTTGCTTTTGGTGTGAGAGAATTGGCCATCTGCAAGGATGTTGCTCAGGGGACGGCTGGATGTGTTACCATCCTGTGGGAGGCTTCTCTCATGTCCCTGCATGGGTAGCTGAGGCTGACAGATGGGAGCTCACATCTCATGGATTCATGTCTCCAGGTCAGCACAAGGGTTTAACCCATTGTGCCACTGTGTCTCCTGTATCTTCTGATGCTACAATGAGTTTTGAAAATCATCATATCCTCATAAAATATAAAACTTCATAGAAAGGCACACCTGATCTCTTTATGTACAAACCTATGCATCCCTTAAGACCTGTGCACTGTAATATTAATGTAATTCAGTCCTGGAACCTGATCAAATATGGATGTATAGCTCCTGTCAAATACAAGGCTGATCATATTTTCTACAATCATAATGCTTTAAGGCAGATGTGCCTATTTTAAGCTGATAAAGCCCTCTAGACAACATTACACTCGACATACATTAACTTAAAGCCTCCCTGAAATCCTCTGTCCTCCACTCTCTGCCGAAGGCTGTATTCCTTGGAGGCAGAATCTCAGAGGTCACATATGAGGGAGTAAGTTCAGGACCACATATCCTCCAATGTTTCACAGATAAAAACTGGGGCATGTGTGTCTAAACGTCATCAGAGTGTGGTCACAATGATAAAATTATACATAAAATATATAAAATATATAATTTAAAATTATATT